GCTCCCCACCTCAGTCTCCCTCTTCTTCCCTACTTAGACCCTCTACCCACATCCACCTGGCCCCCCAGGCCACCGGGAAGGCCCCCCATCACCGGTAGATATCTTTCACATTTGTCACCAGCCTGCTGGGGAGGAAAGCCTGGGAGTTTTGTTGCATGAGTGTGAACCTACCAGCAGAGCTCAGAGCCCTTTCCAGGGGGGTTCCCATAAGTTCCAAGCTGCACTTTGTATTAAGAAACTTTTCAGAGCCATTGTCCTGAAGTCAGTTTCTTTCATAAAACAATACTTTTGCCGCTGGTGGCACACTGGCTCTGCCGGCACTGTGCTAAGCACCCTGTGTGCATCATCCACACATCCCTGACCACTCTGAGAGCTGGGAAGGAAGCAGAACCCCTCACCTAAAGCGCCCAGCCTGTCTGCAGCAGAGCAGGAATCCAAGTGCGGCCTCTGACTGCAGCCCGTGCTCCTACTGCTGCCCAGGTGGGCTCAGGTCAGCGTTCTCTAGCCCAGGGCAGCATGCGCTCTAACAAGCATGGGGCTCAACCTCAGGCTTTCCTGTCTCTGCAGCAGAGCTAAGCACAGTACTTTTCTCTGAATCATCATTAGCGAATATGTGTTGCGCTAAACAGTACAGGCTCTGGCTAGATTCCCGGATGGAAGGAGGCAGCACGGGTTTCAGTAATTGTGGGTACGTGTGCACTGAGTTTGCCATGCTATTCGGAGGATGGTGAGTATCCACAGGTGTGATCCCACTAAGGTGGGGTAAGGGTTTACCTGCTGTTTCTGATCTCAGCAAATTCTCCTCTCCTTGGGAGACCTGGGGCTCCTCCCAGGAGATCACTATGTTGCCAGATCTGATGACACATCTGACCTGCTTAGTGCCCTGGGGTCCAGAGTTCCTGGGCTCAGGATCCTCCTGTCTGGAGGATGAGGGATGAAGAGGAGCAAAAAGGTCCAAAGTCCAGGAAAGCAGACCTTGCACAATGCATGCAGAATAAGAGGCATTCAGTGGGGACAGGAAGCCAGAGGAGACCCCAAAAAGTTCCCCACTGGCCAACCTAGCAGAAGTCACAGGAAGACACCCGGGATTGTCTTGTCTTCCCAAGAAAGGTATAGAAAGACACCAGCAGTAAGCCTTCACATGCATGACCACAGGCTGAGTGTGAGGCTCCTTGCCAGTGTTCAGGATGTGGACAGGAGGACCATCGCTTGTTATAGATGCTGCTGGCTGGGCACTTGGTCGGGCCAGTGGCATAAAACCCATATACCATCTTTTCTTATCTTCCAGCCTCTACCCCTGGACTCTGTCTATGAGAGGGAAGCCTGAACAGAGCAGGACATTGCTCACCAGACACCATCTCCCTAGGGGTCTTCCCAAGGCACCTGGGCTCTAAGAGGGCAGGTCCCAGGCCCGGGAACCCTCAGCTCTGGCAACACAACCTTCACCAGGGCCCCCTCCGACACATGAGCCGTCCTGATCGGATCACCGGTAATTGAGTTGCTCTGGGGGGTAAATTCTATCCAGATGCGGAGGGTGGGGTGGGCTTCCTGAGTGGAGCAGGAGGCGGGGCACTGATACGTGGTGAGGGGGGCATGAAGTCAACGAGCCGAGTATCCAGCAATTCTGGAAAAGAACATTGTCTTCTGAAAAGCCAGAGGTGGAATTCGATGGCCAGGATCTGAGTCCAGCTCCCTTGGTGGGCGGAGGGAGAAACTGCAGTCTAGACGGCAGAAGGGACCAGTCCAAGTGCCCGGTGCATTTGCTGGGTCAGGACACCTGATGATCTCCTCTCAGGTCAGAGTGTTTCTGTCTGGGGGTATTGAGATGAAAATAGACAGCATAGCTCCTCCCCCAGAAATCCCTCTCAAGCTCTGGGTTAGGAAATCAGGCGTTGGGGGTTAGGAAGTGGAGAATCTGTGGTTGGAGAGGCTTTAATCACCTCCAGTCTGAACTCTAAACCAAAGAACACACTGCAATCTGCTTGCAGTGGGGACAAAGCTCCACACGGAGGATTGCAAACACCATGTCCCCATCTCATCCCTCCTCTCGCGAGGTCCTGGGCAGCCTGTGGTCTGGTCCTCTTCTCCCAGGGGAGGCCCCTCCACATCTCTCTCCTTTGACCTCCACTGGGCCACATACCTTCCTGGCTCCTTTGGGCTGACTTACTGGAAGGCAGGAAGAGGCCAACCAGCTGGGGGTGGGGGGTATGAGAACTTGGAGAGAATGAGAGGAAACGAGGGGGGAGTGGGCTGGGGGGGGAGCCTAAGGAGGGAATTTTTTTTGCCTCCTGCCTCACGTTTTGGCTGCCACAGTGTGAACATGTCTAGGCGCCTTATCGTGAAGGCCAGCACAGCCTGCGCGAGAAAGAAAATAGTGTCTGCAGTGGGAAAGCCACATCTTGATAAAACAACCCTTAGGAATGGCACTGAGGGCTCTTATCAGCAGGCGGCTGGAGCCCGCATACCTCTGTCTGCCTGTCTCCGGCTGGCCGGGCCCCTCTTCTCCTTTCTCTATCCCCTTCTCCCACTCCACTCTCTCCCCAGAAAGTGGCCTACACTAAAACCACCAGGGAAGCCAGGAGATCCTCGTTCAGATCAAATCTCCAACCCTCGCTGAGCCTCAGTTTCCCTTCAATAAAGTACAGGGAGAGAGAGATGAGCCAGATGGTTTCTAAAGATCTTTCTGGCATTACGTTTTATGATGCTGACATTTTTGTGTTTGGTGATTCTATATGTTACGAAGTTTTCCAACCTCCACCCAAATGCTATCCCATACTAAGTCAATCTCTCTCTCTCTCTCTCTCTCTCTCTCTCTCTCTATGAGGGATTGAATCTTAGCTCATCCCCAGCCCCATTTTTTATCTTGAGGCAGGATCTTGCTAAGTCACTAGGTTGTCCTGGGTGGGCTTGAACTTGATCTTTACCTTCATGCCTCTCTGCCCCTCTTCCCAAGTGCTGCAATTACAGGGAAGCACTGGCATGCCCAGCTCTAAACAGCTCACCTGAAAGGTGCAAATCCTTGGCCGTGGTTATATCTGATCCCAGCCTTTGGGAGACTGAGGCAGGAGGAATGCAAGTCTGAGTCCTACCTTAGCAATGTAGTGAGAACTTGTCTCAAAATAAAAGTGGTTTGGGGTTGGGGCTCAGTGGAAAGCCTTGAGTTCACCTCCTAGGTATACAACCAAAATAAAATAAGCAACTCTCCTTCACTGTCCCGAGACATAAAATGCTGCCCTAAAGCCGAACCCAACCCAGAAGCTGTGCTGCTCAGCAGTGATCATCCCAGCTCCCACCTGAGAAGCGCTACAACAAAATAGAGCTTCCAACATTTTCAGACATTCGTATTTTCTTCTCGAAGTGTCACATAGAGCTCCACACAAAGCCAGGCAAGTGAGGCAATGTGTCTGCTTCAACCAATCCCTCTCTGCCCCCCACAGGCCCCCGACACCCCCTACAGCCCTAGGGTCCCCTAGAGCCCCTTGCTGACTTCTGGGGCTGCAAAAGGAGGTCCAGGTGCAGGGAAAGAGAGTCTCGGCTCAGCTTGGAACTTCCGTATCTTTCTCCCTCTCTCAGTTCCAATTTCATCACTTGGAAAAGTTGGTGGTACTGTGGTCAGCATGCCCACCTCCCAAACTGCCCAGAGATCAATGGGGAGGTGCTGGAAGGATTAACAGTGACTGAAAATAACTAATCGCATATTCCAAAGCAGCTAGTGGAGAAGAGTTTGAAAGTTCCCAAAACAAAGAAATGATAAATGTCTGAGGCCATGGATATACCAGTCACCCTGAACTGGTCCTGCGCATCATACACAGGCACTGAAATACCAGGTTGTACCTCGTCAATATGGATAATCATTGTGTTAATGAAAAGGACAAAAATAAGAAAGAGCTCTGCAAACCCAAGAGCTTATGATGCTGCTGATGGAGAATTTGGATCCTGAAAATGTGAGGTCTGGGAGAGCATTTAAAACTGTTTATCTGCACTCTTCCTCATACAGTTAGGGAAACGGAGGCCCAAGGAGGAGAGGAACCTGACACAGATCACACCATGAGACAGCAGCAAACCAGCGGCAAAGAACAGAGCTGAGGAGATGCTAAACCTTGTATCTTTGGCCCTCCATCAGGAAAGTGTGTCTGTAAATCAAGAAGATCAACTGGGTTTTAGGGACCCTGTCCAGCTAAGATTTCCATGAGACCCTTCAAGTCTGGGCTCCCCCATCCAGCCCTGTAAGGCAGAAATGGGGAGAAATGCTTCTTTATGTACATGCCAAGCTCCAGCTCTGACCTATGTTTTTGTTCCTCAGGCAGAAAAGCCAGACCCTCGTCCTCCCGCCCCGCCCTCTCAGCCCTGCCTGTAGCCTCCACGCCACTCTCCAGCCCTGAGTCTTGGCTCATGTGCAGGATTTCACAGAGCACCTCTGTGCTCAGGCTGTCTGGGTGGCAGGGCAGGCGCTGCCACTCATGCGATGGGTCTGTACACCGACCAGACTGGGCCAAAGTCAGCAGCACCATGCCGAGGGGCTGCTCTGCTAGTGGGGACGTCCCCGGCCCCATATCTGACTTCTTTTATGATCTCTCTTGCTCTGCTTTGTGAGAGCAATGCTCTGGCAGGCCCATCAAGACCACAATGGTCCCTACATGGCTCCCAGATCACTGCTTCCCGGCCACATACTGCCTGGAATGCCTCCCGCCACAGCGTTCCAGTCAGCACCCATCAACCTGATCCCACTCTTACATTTTTACCTGGAGAAACAGGCCACATTGCTCACAGTCCATAACACAGGAGTAGGACCCAGAAAGAAAAGACTTTCCTGATCTCACACAGCAAGTTAGGGATTGAGCAGCTAGCAGAACCCGGGGCTCCAGGACTCACCTACAGCCCTGCAAACCACCGCAAGAAAGGAACTTCTCTCCCTGCCTTGGATCTGTGCTGGTCTCAGCTCCCTGGAGGCCACCCAGCCAGCATTGTCCTTGCTTCCTGCCTGAAGACAGTGCCAGGCAGGGCCACCGCCGGCAGGGACCTAGACCAGGGTCCCCTAGATCACGTTCTAAGAAGAACAGTTTGAAGAACCAAGTGTGTGCAGACTCCAGAGTGCTGGAGCTCAGCTGACAAACCTTAGGACTGTCCTGGGCTCCAAAGGCAGCAGTCGGTGGCCAGAGGCAACACAGGAGCAGACTTCCATGCAGTTTCAGGAGTGCTTTCCAACAGTCTTGCCGAAGCGTCAGTAGGTGGTGAGTTTCTCCTCGAAGACATGGGAGGCAGAGGTAGGAGGAGGTGTTGGAGGAGAGGCCTCAGAAACCCTTCCTGTCCTGAGAGGGTGTGACTGAGGCAAACACACACACCGTCACTCACACTCATAAACCAGTCACGCAGACACAAGCCCTCAGTCCCCTGACGGCAGGGTCAAGCCTCTATCCCTGAGCAGTGTCTGTCCCTCAGGCCACGGCGGGGTCAGGGAGGAAGGGTGTACAGGATTCCTGAGGCCCCTGTCTTGCACTGGCTGCACCCCAACCCACCCCAGGCCGGGTCCCACTGGCTCCTCTCCTCAGGGAACCTCTAGAGTTTTCCCATCTAGAATGATCTGTCCACCTCCAGACTCCAAAAGCAGTAGAAATTGTCCGCCTAATTCCACCTTGAATCAGAACGTACTTTCTCAAAAGTGTTTCACCACATGGAAAAGTCTAATCCCTTAGCAGTCAGAAAGTCATCCCTTTGAAAACATTCTCTCATAGGTCAAGGGTAAAGTTGGACGATTTAAAAAATAAAAATACAGGAAGCCCCATCAACTTGAATTTCAGATAAAAAACAGGCAATTTTTTTTAAGCATAAGTACAGCCTATGCAATATTTGAGGCGTACTTTAAAATGATTCACTGTTCATCTGACATTTAAATCTAACTGGAAAGCTTGTAATTTATCTAATACAACCAAAGAAGAAAGTCTTCATTTGATGCAAACTTGTCTTGAACACAGCTCTCATATTTTTAAAAATCTCCATTTTTGTCAGAGAGATCTGGAATCTCAGGCACTAGATAAGTAGATAAATTTAACATTGTTTCACTACTATTATATTCTACTTATATGGCTATGATGTAAGGGAAGTGATACAGTGTTCCATTTATAGTAGCAATGTAAATTCCTTTTGAAAGAAATGCTGTTATGGTTTCAAAAGTGATTCAATTAAAAGAAAAGATATTATGTAAGGAATGGCTAAACACAGATATGACCAAAAAAAAACCATAACCAGGGTGGTGGTGCCCAAGAGACCAGGACTTAGGCTATCTGAGAAGGTGCTTTTACCTCCAGGTTCCAAGGTCCCGTCCCTCCCTGTCTGCTGCCTTGTTCCTAATGCCCGGATCCCTGGGCAGCCTGCAGGAAATGCACTGCACTTCTAGGAGAGGTGTTTCAGCCTGTTCCCCATTCCCGAGGTCCTCAGTGCCCCTTTATACAAAACAGCCGCCCCAGCTCGGCTCGACTTCAGAGAGGCTGCTTCTGAGGAGGCGGCCACGAGGGACTTCTCGATGTGTTTTTAACTTATATCCAAACCTTTTCAGCTTTTCCAGGAAACCACCCCCATCCCTCCTTCCCACCCTGGCTACCTCTTGGAGTCAGGGCCGCAAGGCCACAGCCCCCAAACTCCCACCCCTGCCCACCAGCCCTCTGGCCCCTATACCTGGCACATTTTCCTCATGCTCCCCCAGCCCTCCATGCTCAAAATGCAGAAAAGAGTCTCAGCTTTAGACCTAGGAGGTTGGAAAAGAGAACTTAGGGCAGGGCTGGTACAGAAGTGAATGAGCAAACCCCTTCCCTACACTTCCTTTTTAATCAGCATTAGCAGCAATAGAGCTATTCGATCAGAGACTGGTCACACATCAGGTACTTGCTAAGTGTCCCCCCCAAATCTTTTTATTTCACCTGGACAGAGACTTTCTGAAGTAGGTTCACCATTATCCTGCTGTAGGGAAGAACAAGCTGAGGCTCATTTGTGTTAAGTAATTTCACCAAGGTCAAGTTTACAGTTCCAGGGAACACAGCCCAGGATTTGCAGCTTGGAAAAATGACTGTGGACACCGCCACATCACCTCTGCCCTCCACTGCAGGGTATCAGTGCCAGAAGAGTTTGGGAAGCACGGTGGAGATGCAGAGATGCAGGTGACAAAGGCTGCCTGGCTGTGTGATCCCAGCAGTGGCTTGCTCCTCCAACCCACTCTGGGGAAGCCCCCTTATGTCCCCTTCTGGGCCCCATCATGGGGCCTTTCAGCTTGGCCAGATGGAGAAGGCCCCACCAACCCCTGCAGGAGCCTGTGTCCCAGCTGGAGTGGAAGCAGGAACCACACTGGTGAGGGCTTGGAGACCATCTCAGCCTCCACTCCCCTCCGTTCTCAGCAGAGATGGATCTCCCCGGGGCAGAGCAGGCTCCCACCCAGACATCAAAGGGCCCCAGCGGCTGGGGCTTTGATGGCAGCCTTGTAGAGTAATAGGAAACATGAGGATGACACTTTGCCCCAGCCCAAAGCACAAGGCTTGGAAAAATGCAAAGAAGAAACTCTTGGCAGCCCTCCACACGGGCTTTGGCTGAACTCAGCCCCTCGCAGCTGCTGGCAGCCTGTCCTCTCCCACTAGGCTGTTCGCAGCCGCGCCTGGGGATTCAGGTCCCTGTGTGGCTGAGGGCATGGGGGCCTTGCTCCACAGCAGAAAATTTGTCCATGAGGCCCACTCTCCCAGGCTCCAGAGAGCACTGCGGAGAACACCAGAGCTGGGGCATGGAAGGGCCTTTCAGGGACTCAGCAGGGGCTTATGTGAAAACCCTTTATCCTATCCCAGACCTTGAGATCGCATGGCTCACAACTTAATAATTTACTTTTTTCCAGTCCCTGTCAAAGGCAGCAATTAAGCAGCTGGTGGAGATGACAATCTGGTGATGTTTACTGAACTAAATGCATGCACTCTTTGACCATCAATATCCATCCCAGGAAGGTACCCAGCACACGCACTAGATCATGCGCTCAAAGGTAGGTGCACTATGATGTACTCCACAAAAGCCTAGAAACAAAGTAAGTGTCCATCAGCAAGGGAAGGGTAATGGAATACAGAGCATCCCGTAGCAGGCCAGCCCGTGGGGTAAGTCAGTAACACAGATGTACATGTGCTGCGAAAAGCAATCCTGAAAGCATCCAGTGGAAGCAGTTGTGTGTATAATATGCTACGGCACCTCAAAAAAGGGGGAAGGTAGTGGATACACTGAGCCAATATACACTGAACCTAGACACTCTCCAAGGATATGCAAGAGTTGTCTGCAGGGACTGCTTCTTAGCAGAGATCTAAGGAGGTGGGAGGAGAATTTATGTTTCACTAAATATTCATTTGTGGTGTTAGTTTGTTTGTTTGTTTATTTTTTAAACAATAAACATGCAGGGCTGGGCATGATGGTACCCACCCGTGATCTCAGCATTTGGGAGGCTGAGGCAGGAGAATTGCCATGAGTTCCAGGCCAACCTGGCTAGAGAAGCAAGTTCAAGGCCAGCCTGCACTACATAGTGAGATCTTTCCTTAGAAAAAATCAACGAACATGCAATATGAGTTAGTAAATGTTAAGGGCATATGAAAGCCTTTTCAAAACCATGCTTCTCTACTCTGTAGAGTTCAAAGGCTTCATCTTCCCTTTATGCCCATCCTGTGAATGCCACCCTACCTCTTCCTTTCTCCTCTGCCCCATCTGGCACCCCATTTCTGTGTATCTGTCACACTGCATGCCTGTCCCCATCCTCCCCAACCCAGACAGGAGGGACATTCCTCTCGTGATCTGCAGCCCCGAGCCTGGGAATTCGGCACAGCGAGGACCTCTTTCCCCATTCTGGCTGCCACACAGGTTTCCTCTTTGCCGGCACACAGCCTTTCTCTTTTGGGCAGGGGCAGGCATCCCAAGGCCTGCTCCAGAGGAACCCCGATAGTACCTTCCCCAGGTTCAAGAGCTGGGGTTACAGGAATCTAGAGCAGCAAGGAAGTCCCAAGCACAGAAGGTACTCAGACACTCACTAAAGCTTCCTCTACACCCCACTGCCCCTGGGCCCAGAGGAGAAAGGAAATCCTACAGACAGGCAGCCTGGTTGGCTCAAGTGGGGGGATGGAGGCTGGGCCTCCGATGCCAGGCCTGGGACCTCACTCCACACCCGGGGCCCAGGGGCCCACTCTGATACTTCAAAGGGGCTCTGGAAAGGTGAGGGGAAAATGTCTCCCAAGTCTGAAAAAGCCCAAAGAGTCTGGCTTTCCTAAGCATGCAAAGGAATGCTGGATTTCTGCCTTGGGAGTGATCCAACCTTTTCTTTTAAAGAGAAAATAGAGTCCATATAATTTGTTCCAGGTCACACAGAAACCTCCAAAGAAGGGGCTGGAATAAAGAACTTTGACCCCTTTTCCAAAGGCTCTTTCAAGAAAACAAGGATTTGGAGTCATTTCATTTGCTGTGTGACTTTGAATGAATCTTCCTCATTTCTCAGAGTAGATCTGTTCATCTCAAATGAGAGGGAGTTTAACTGTCTCTCCTGATTATGATGCTGAGCTGTGCTTTATTCTAACAATAAAATAAATAAATGTCTGATTTTAGCAGCCTAGAATTTCATGATTATTAACATTTTGTAGCCTAACATTCTAAATTTCAATCCAAACATCACCCCATACACCCTCCCATCCACCACCCATCTATCTGGCACCCCTTCAGCTCTATACACTTTCACTTAACCATCCCTACGTGCTCTCTCTCCCATCTACCATCAGGTGGACCCATCAGATTATCATCCTTCCTGGTACACACCAACCCATCCATCCATCTGTTTATCTTGAATTCTTACTTTATGCTGGGGCTTCGGGATACTCTGAAAAGCATGACCTGTCCATCAGGCCTCTCAGAGTCTGCAGCTGGATGGCGGAGTGTTTGCCTGGGAGTCTGAGCTCAAAGAGAGCTCACCCTTGTGGTTCAGGAGTTTCCTGCCTGAATCATCAACTGGTTCTTCCAAAGCATAATTGATTCCAAGTTCTGTGAGCTGGGGACTTAACTATTCCCATGTCAGGACTGGTCCCAGTTGTCCCACCCTCCCGAGGCAACCAGTGAGTATGACTTTCTCCTTCTGTGCTGTCCTTCTGTGCTCCTCAATGAAGGCTTTCCAAAGCCAAGGTGTCCTCTAGTGAGACTCACCTCTGCCAGCCTGTCAGACTGGCCCATGGCCGCCACACACACACACAGGAAACTTGATGCCAGTGCATCCTATGGACTGTGAGTCTGGTACCTACACCTGCCCCTGGAAGTGACTCTCTCCAGGGGATTCTCTTGGCCCCTCCTTCAGTGGGCCTGGTTTATAATACCAAAGAGACCTTTGCTCAGCACAGGTTCCCTGCAGCGATCTGAGGCCAATTCTAGTACAGTCTCCAAGATCTCTTGGTTGCTTGGGCGAGACTGCATTGCTGGACTGTCCTAAGAGGAAGAAACTGAAAGATGCCAAGAGCTTACCTGGCTCTCTTAGCCACAGCCCATCTGACTGCTGTGTCCCCTCACTGGAACCCAGGTTTTACTGGGTACATTTCTGCCTCCCTGTATTGGTTCAAGCAAAGCGCACTTCCCAGGACACTTGCTCTGCTCTTGGCTTGTTAAGGCCTGCTTCTATTCCGAGGCCTCCAAGTGAAGACTTCAGTCCGTTCCTCAGCCCAGGCTGTGCAGTCTGGTGCAAAATCTTGAATTTGGTAGGAAACAGGCCTAGTTTTGAGCCTCAACTGGCTCCAAATCTCACTTTACTTATCTGTAAAGTGGTGGCAGATGGTCGTCATTGTGGCACTTGTTGGGTCACTGAATAGTGTAAGCGCATGCAGAGTCCATACATGGCATGGGCGCTGGAGCTGTGTCCCTGTCATGGTGGCTCTGGATTCCTCCAGCGCCCACATCTGAGCCATGAATTTGGAATGTCAGACCACTCCTCCTGCCGGTGCCCATGTGCGGACTCCCCAAATACAAGCCCTGCCCTGGACAGAGAGGCCTTAGTATTTGGCCTGGATCTGCTACCCATTCCTCTTATGACCTTGAGCAAATACTTTCAGGCTTTTGTGATTGGATAAGCTGCAGTTCCTGAAGGTGAGACCAGGGACCCCCCCAAATCCAGCATAGACTCCAGTGCCAGGTATATGGTAAGTAGGGCCTCAAAGTTGGCCTGAGAGGGCAAAGGCTGGGTAGAGGGTGGAGGGGGAAGGAGGTAGGGTAGAACTCTGACATGGAGAGGTGTAGCTGCTGTCCTCTTCTAGCTAATGAGGTTAGGTCCAGGAGAGACTGAATCCACACAAGGGGCCAAGAAAGTAGTTTACAGCCTGGATTTACTGTGTCTCCGGCTGCCTCAATCTGGACAAGCCAGGTCTGTTCAACTGTGTACCAAGGGCTGGGCGTGGTATGGGGAGGGTGTGTGGATCATGAAGCCAGCACTCAGCCACCACAGCCCAGGCAGGAAGGGAGCGAGCGGGGAGAGGGAGCCAGCAGGGTGTGCCTCAGTAGGGCAAGGGCAGTGTGTGTGCAGGGCAGGGCTCCCCTGCACAGCACCTCTCCGACTTCAGACAAATGACTTCCTCTGTGCAATGCAATTAACAATGGAAGGGTTAAACAATGCCTGGGAAGGGCAAGGATGCAGTAAATGCTCAATAAATCAATGAATGAGCTATTCATTGTAGAGTGGCACCTCCGTTCACAAACTTAATTTGTTCTGTGATTTTGGAAAAGATGGCTATGGTTGGGTTAGTCACCCAGCCTAGAGTTTGCAAACAAAAATAAAATTTTGCCAAAGGTTTCTGTTTGTAAAGCAAATTGTTTGTGATTGGACAAACAAAAGCATTTGTGAACTGAGGCATCATATATTATGCAGTTATAATTTGTGTAAGTGGGATGATCTGTGTTTATGAGGTAGTGAAAATGCCAGTTCCCTTACGTGGCTCTGTGTGTGTGTGTGTGTGTGTGTGTGTGTGTGTGTGTGTGTGTGTGTGTGCGTGCTCAGGGCAGAGCATGGTGTTGGGAATAGATTTGTGTGAGAATCTGCAGGAGAATGTGTGCACACAAATGTCATGGAAGGTTCCATGGAGTCAAAAGGACTCTAAGGTTCCAAGAAGCCTTCGGTGATCACCTCCAAGTTTGAGCCCCTCCTTTAGCTTCCTATAAACACTGCCATTTATGCAAGCTTGTCACACACTCCTCCCTCGAGGAGGAGTGTTCCTCAGCACCCGCAGTAGGACTCATCCTGACCAGGTCTTCCCCCGTCTGTGGTGGAAGCTGGCCAGTCACTGCATGGGCCATCCCTGAGTCAAGAGCTCATGACACAGGCATCCTGCCCTTGTGCCCACCACAGTCTCGATGTGAAGCTTGCAGCCAGGTGAGACGCAGAGGAGCTGCTGTCCTGTGCAGACTGTATACCTGGGACACTGCTCCCTGGGTCCAGATGGAGAAGTGTGGAGCAGACAGTACTTCCCCAAGATCTCTTCACTTCCAACCCAAGACTCCCCACCCCATGGGAGACTCCAGAAATAGGGAAGAATAGGTGTGTATTTCTGGGCACTTGGATGGCCCTGTGCCACCACAGCCACAGCACAGGTCTCCATGGGAACCACCAGTCACCTCCCTTTAAAGGCAAGGCCAGGCCAGTGTCAAGGCTGCATCAGTGGCAGCTCCAGGAAAGACAAAACAGGGCTGGAGAAGGAGACCTCATGCATGAGTTCAGCTGGTTTCCGAGAGTTAGGCTCTGACCAAGCTGTTTTACTTCTTGAAATTTGTCCTCAGGAAATCATTTGTATGTACAGAGGCAACAGGTTTGGAGAGTGCTGCCTTGTCCATATTAGTGCAAGTGTGAAAATCATCTAAAATCCCACCAATGCGGGGCAGTTACTTTGTGGAAAAGCACTGAGACGGCCAACATGGGTCTACAGATGTTCATGGATGCTGTGGGGGGGAGACAGGTGGGAGACGGGTGTGACGGCTATGATGAGCAGCTCTGCTACCGTGAGGGTGCTTGGAAGGCGTTCAGGACCCAGTTCACACAGGGTCTATCCCAGCACCTGCTAGAGGACCTCCCCTAGGCAAACCAGAACCTGCGTTCAGACCCGTGCCCCAATCACACACCCTGGCACTGCTCAGTCTCTGGAGGGCTCAAGCCCTGGTCACATCCCTCCTGGTGGCTCCAGCCAGAATAACACAAGACCCTTGGGCAGGTAGGACATTTTTCTCTTCAGAGCTGACAGCCCCTTTCTTCCTTGGGCAGCAGGATGTGGCTTCCAGCGGCACAGGAAGTATGAGGGCCACCAGCTCCACCATCTCTAGTTTCGATCAGAGTCAAACCCCAGAGAGACACAGCTACCAGCCCAGAGTCAGCAGCAAAGCCAAAGGCACCTGAGCCCAGTTGCTGAGGAGAAGGCAGAGAGGCCCCGCATCTGGGTGACTGCCCTCTGGCCCATTGCTGGCCTTCCCTGCCCCCATCGAAGCTCCCCAAAGGCTGGGAACATCTGGCTGCTGGCCTTGCTCCAGGAGGGGGTGAGTGAGGGGCCTCCTTCCGCCAGGCCTGGAGGCTGCTGTGGTGC